AAAGACACCACTTTGCTTCCAGCCACAGCATCCTTTGCAGCTAAACCAATCTCATTTAGCCTTGCAACCAAGCATTCTGCTCTGGGTACTGGCAGGAACGACCCACCACAGCCATAAGCTCCTGGGCACACCTTGGTCTGTCCCTATGAGTTGGACTGAGCCATGCTGGGAGCTGAGGATGACTACAAAGAGAGCAGCACTTGTCCCACAGCCCCTAAATAGGGCCAGCCAGAGCCCAGGGCTCCAGGAGGTGGCAGGGATTGGTTGGGGTCAGGTCCCAGGTGTGGCTGGTTGGGGCCAGGGGGAGCTTCAGTGCACTTGGGGCTCATCAGAGAAAAGGCTGGACCGTGCCAATAGCCAATGCAGAGGCATTTTCTAATTCTGTAACAGTTTGGAAGGGTGGCAACAAAATATAGAACCTCTATTACATGGTTTGTTCAATTTTACAGCACAAGACAGAGACAAAATTCTGTGGAGGGGGAACTGCATCCCTCAGTTCTGAGACAGTTTCTTAATACACAGCAATTAATTCTCAAATATCACTAGCAAAGGACACAAGACTACAAACTTTTCAACTAGGCATTCCAGGCTTAAACACCACTGGGGATCGCTAGCTTTTGGCACTGGACTCAGTAATGGTTTATTGTTAAGCAGAAGAACGTTATAAGATTTAGGAAAAGATTATTTTCACTCTTACAAGAATAAATGTAGTTAGAACAAAATTAAGTTAACATATGAATGAGTGCTCAGTTAGCTTTATTTATACAACTTTGTAACACAATACTTCAATTTAAGAATATCATCAGGAGCATTGTATTAGAAAGCTATAAAAACACAGACTACCCGACAGCTGTTAAGACATATTTAGTACCACTTTGTTCATGACTGAGTGCAAACAAAACCCCATGCAGCTTAAGCATACACTCTTTAATGAGGACCTATTGTTGCCATTTTTTCTTTCCCTATCTTTTGAGAATTAATTTTCACACAATCATGGAAAGTTATTTATTAGACATTTTTGTGTCCACAAATAGAATGATTCAGCTGGTCACCACAAAAAAGAAAAAAATTATTTCCTCTTCAAACGTGCTCCCCCCTTTACAGTATCCATAAATATTACTGGTCAGCTGGCATCTCTCTCTGTGGCACACACAGACCCCCTGACCAGAAGCATTTCTGTACTGACCATTCTGTTCATCTCATGGTTATTCTGTCAGTAGATTCAGTTTTCAGTAAGTGTCCCTGTGAGCAGAAAGATGCCGGGTTGTGTTCGAGTGGCAGAGGAAGCTCGGAAGGTTACAGACTCCTCCTGGCCCAGGGATTCTTTCAGTGCTCCCCACTGCGTGCTCGTCTCCCTTCTCCAGACCAAACGCCAGAGCCAACACTGCCAATACATGACCCATGGTGGGGGGGAAAGTGTCTGCCTTATGCCTGTGCGCAGACCTATCACAAAGCTTTGCTCCAAAACGTTCAAAGAAAAAGTCAAAACTACTGGGTAAATACGACTTAACAGTGAATACACTGGAAGCTCTCAGGTACTCGACTACGTAGAGCATTTCCACCTGAGGATGTACCCTGTGAGGAGCTGATGTCCTCCATGGCTGCTCTCTGCTCCTCTGCTGTCCTGGTCTCTCCAAAGCAGGAGAATGGAGAGAACACTGGGAATGGGTGGAGTAACAATGGGAAAGAGAAAATGAGAGTTTGAGAGAGAAAGAGATTTCCCAGACTGTTAGATCTGATCCCTTGTTACAGAACTGATTTTCTTTATCTGTCTCAAGTTCCATCCTACTCTCAATCTCACCGAGATCTCAAGTGGAGAGAGGACAAAGCACTAACTGGTCAGTTCTGTCAAGATGGCTGGGTATGTACAATCATCGAACTTTTATGCTCTGCAATTTCAAGCTTATGGGGAAAAAATTCTGCACATCTCTCTCCTAAATGCGAAAGTCTAAATTCTGCCACAGCTGTATGAAATATTGTTTTGTATTTTTCCCTAAGTACAATACTATAATAATACCATACTCTAAGGCAATAATTTCATTTTTGCATTTTTACATTTCTTCAGATTTCTGCTACACTGTTCTCAAGGTCATCCAGTTTCTCTTGTGTGCTACTCTATACTGATGAGGACTCTCAGCACTGCACCATTAGCATATTCCTACTTTTTGTGCCAAGGATCATAATGAAAAATATTAAAATACAGCCTTTCCCAGAACATACATCATCCTCTGAAGATGCTTCAACAGAGATCATCTAATCTAAAATGACTTTGTTTTCTAGTGACTGCATTATTAGCCCAGAACACCCCTCAGTTTTAAACACAAGGATCTCTTTCAGGTATGCTGTGAAGAAGCAGCATCCATACTGTCAGAAACACAGGCAGACAGCATGATTACAGGGCCTCAACGTGGATTTTCCTGCTCTCCTGTCACTAACGCTCTAATTAACTCTATACAACAATATTGCTTTCCCTCCCCTACCAAGCTTCATGCCTACCTCCATCAGCAGCAGAATCATTCACAATAAGCCTCTGTGGAGAGCTGCCCTGCGTTCCCCCTTCCCCAGTCACCCTGTTTTGACATGGATGTTTACAGTTGCACTTTGGAATAATGTACAACACTTGGGGGGGTGCTTTCATGTACTGCGCATCCAAGTTCTCTGCAGTCCATAAAGTGAGACAGAAATCACATGCATTTACCCCCAGCAAATGCAAACCACATAGTATCCTTATTTTTGTGTATCTTCTTTTAGTACATAGTCTTTCAGACATTCTCAGCTGCACAAAAGCTGCAAGCAAAGGTTCTTTGGCTGTATGCATGACAAAAAGAAGTACTGGAAGGTTAAAAAGAATTTGTCTGAGGTTATAGAATCATGGAATAGATTGGGTTGGAAGGGACCTTTAAAGGCCATCTGGTCCAACCCCCCCCCCCCATCTTTAAAATTATACTATCAGGAGGGAAAACTGAATGTAGAATCATCAAATGATTTGGGTTGGAAGGGACCTTTAAAGGTCATCCCCCCCCCCCCTTCCATAAGCAGGGACATCTTCAAGTAGATCAGGCTACTCAGAGCCCCATCCAACCCGACCTGGAACGTTTCCTGTACTGTAGCATTTAATACTGGACAATGCACTATAAAACTCCATTCTGAACATGTCGGAATGCATAAATCTCTGGCGAATTTCATGTTCCTAATCTCAGTTTTGTTTCCACGGGCTTTGCAGGAAAGGTCACTCACGTCAGGGGCAAACCCAACCCAGCTCGCTAATTAATAACTGTTAAGTAACGAATAAAAGGGGCCGCCCGGGGGCGACGCCAGATCGCGACGCTCCTCCGCCGCCCCGTCGCGGTCTGGCGTCGCCCCCGGGCGGCCACCGGCGGTCGGGCCAGCCGGTCAAGTGGCCCTCCCGTCCAGCACTCGCCACCCTGCCCGAGCCGCAGCCCAGCGGCCAACGGAGCCCGTCGGGGCAGCCGGGGGCGGGGAGGGTACCGCGGGGGTGGCGGAGACCGCAGTTTTCCCGGTTCCTGTTTGATGCGCCCGTTAGCGTTTGGTTTGCTGCTGCCGCTTGCAATAGAGAGAGGAAAAAACGATTAAATCGTTTATTAAACCTTCTTTAGGGCAGCATCGTTTTTAACCTCGCGTTTTTTTGTTTCAGCTGTTTACAAGGATGCACATAACAAGACACACGGACTGTGACAGCGACTGAAAAAAAAAGATCATTATTCCACCCCGAGTAATTCCTTCCCAAACTTACTTTGACGTCAGGGCTGTTGTTTCAGGTTAAACGGAACGCTATTCACCTGCACAGGGTTCTGGCGACAGACATGACTACATCCGAAGGAACGCGCGTTTTAATGATTGTTCTGATGTGACGAAGTCGATTCATGTTTACTTTGTGAAACGTTTCAATTCCCCACTTGTTGTGGTTAATATTTTCCTTGTTTAGCAAAGCATAAAAACCGTAGGAAAAGGCGAAGAACGCGCTATAAACCCCGTTTACGTAATTATTTTCTCTAAAAATCTCAAATCCGAATTCTTCTTTTCTTGACAAGAGCGTTTTCGATTTAGAAGAAAACGTGCCGTAATTTTATTTGTGCAAACGGGCTCCGTTCCGCGATGATGGAAGCGCCGTTTTCCCCTCGGCAGTCGAGGGATCGTCCCTGTCCGCCGGGGCTCGGCGGGAGGACCCGCTCCCGGAACCCGGAGCGTCTCAAAACCGGCCACAAAGCCGGAACGGCGGTTCCCGGGACATCGCACCCGTCCGCAACCGCGCTCGGCTCCAGCGCAGGGGAGCGGCTGCCGGAGACGGCACCGACCGCCCGACAGCGCGGCAATCGGGCGGGCA